GGAGGAGGAGGAGGAGGAGGCGCGGTCCGCCTCCCATGTAAAGTGTAACATTTGTAGGGCGTGTTTTAACGCGGTCGCTTTTCTGCGCGACGACGGACCGCGGTTGGAGTCACGCAGGTTAGGCACGGCTGAGAGTGATCGACGGGCAGTAAACAGTGGCCGGTCGCTCGCTGTTTTCGGAGTGGCGGGCATCCACGTGCCGCGGGAAAGTGGCCTCGCGCGTGTCGCGAGTCCGCCGAGAGAATTTCCTCCCGAGTGTGTCTCGAGTTCCTCGAGAGTGAGAACGCGGAGTAGAAAAAAAAAAAAAAGAGGGAAAAAGAAAGAATACTTGACTCCCTTACGTAAGATCTCGCGTCGCGACTTTGCCCCTTGTACCTTCGGCCGTTCGCCATCAGTTCTGAGGAAATTAATTGGAATTCTTTTCTGTAGAGATATTTCGAGAGCGCGCGCGTGCGTTTTTCGGATTGTCCTTATTTTTTTTTTTTCCCTCCGGTGGCGCTATTTACTCGCGTCGGGGAAGACACGCCGTTCCGAAATCGATGTGAGCCCTGGGCGCCGATGGCGCCGATGCTGTCTAATGATGACATTTAAATGCGGTGCCGCATCGTTCGATTGTTCGCGCGATGCAATGCGACGGGACGAAACATTTCGTGTTTTTTCTCTTAGTTTCTCTTTTTCTTTTTTTTTTTTCTTTTTCTTTATCGATTTTTTTCGACTTTCTCTGTCTGTCTTTTCTCTCTGTCTCTTTCGAACATTCGATGCGTTGCGCTCGTGATTAGAAATTGATCGACCAGCATCCGTCCTCGCTTGAGCGTTGTAAACAAACTTGGATTTATCGCGAATTTTGTCTCTGTCCAAAGCACTGTCCGATTAAACGGATTTAAGAAGACCGCGTTAAACGAGACCGGCGGCGGCGCAAAGAGGGAATCGGAGCCGCGAGGAATCCAGACGAGAATGGGGATCTCCAAGGGGGAATGATAGGTAAGGAGGGCCCTCGCTTTAAGATGCCAAGGACCGACATGCCACGGTGAGAGTGACGAGTCCCTTGAATCTGCGGCAGGATGCAAGAGGGTAATACCGCCGTTGCGCTAGCGATGGTGACCCCCGGATACGACCAGGACCCTGCGAGTGGGGTCGCCGACTATACAACTCATCAGGACCAGGCCCAGTTCGAGGCCGACAAGAGGGCCGTGTACAAACACCCGCTTTTCCCACTGCTGGCGTTGCTTTTTGAAAGATGCGAGCAAGCGACCCAGAGCTCGGACAACTCCACGTCCGAAAGCTTCAACATGGATATACAGGCTTTCGTCCAGCACCAAGAAAGAGACCGAAAACCTTTCCTGATCAATGACCCCGAGATTGACGGTTTGGTAAGAGATCCGTTTCTCTTTTTTTTTTCCCCTGCTCCGCGCGTCCCCCTTTCGTTTTCCCCGCTGCGACTTTTGGGTCGTGGTTGTGAACAAATGAACGAAGGACGCGACGAGAGATGACGATCGATCGAGAATGAGAGCGTTTAATGAGAATCGGCGCGGGCCACGCGTTTCTTGCAGATGATCAAGGCGATACAAGTGTTGCGTATTCACCTGTTGGAGCTGGAGAAGGTGCAGGAGCTGTGCAAGGACTTCTGCAACAGGTACATCACGTGTTTGAAGGGCAAGATGCAGAGCGAGAATCTGTTACGCAGCGACTACAGTCATCACGGACACGACATGGGCCCGTCGAGCGGCAGCAACGGCAGCAGTCCGTTGCAGGTTAGACGTTTCTCCGATACACCGCGGTGAAGTTAGGCACCCCGGTCTGTCCGGTCTATCATCCCCCTTACCAACGTAGACATCCTCATAGTTAAAGGGATGTACGTGATCTAGTCGTTTAAGCGTCGCGATTCATGAAATTGCCGAGTTGATCGGAGCGATCAACTCGGATACGTGCGGATATAAACACGCCCGTGTATGAGCCCATGTATACGCGTACATCTCTTGAGATATTACTGAACTTCCCATCCCTGCTCTCTGACGGCTAGTTGAGACATATATTTGCCAGGTGCTGTCATCTACAGGCAATGATGTTGAGTCGGGAGCTAACGGATTCAGAGTGAGCCGAGGGGACACCGTGGCGGAAAACGACGGCGCGAATCCGCACGCGCGGGAAGAGAGCGTTAATCACGACCAACAGTCGTCGGTCCGACCGTCTTCCGCCGTCCAGCGCTCAGGCAAATCCACTAGCCAGGACCACGACGATCCACTCTCACCGTCCACGGTACACGGGAGCACGCCCCTCTCGCAAATCGGGGCGCATCCATGCGCCCCGGTTAACGACATGTATCTCGGCCAAGGTGAGTCCCAGCGGTGTCGTAGCACTACTCGAGTGAGAATCGGCAGAAATATTGGTTTCCTCTCGTCAAAACGTCAACTCCTCTTCCTTTTTCTTTCCTACCTATGGACATTTCAGTGTTCATACTCCACGCACAAACGGATCTCCTGCTAGAATTTCGTTTATAGATGACAGTAGCGAGTATCTGCGGACGATTTCCGACAGAATATACTTGGAAGAAGCTGGATACTGGGGACTAGTCGCGTTGCGGGAACGAGAGAACGCAGAATACGCGGATGTCTTGCATGCTACCGATAAAAAGTACCTCGGTTAGGAAATATAACGTGTTTCCTTACGCGCGCCAGCGCGTTGAGAAATAGCACTGACGCATTGCCATTGCTATCTCTCGACGTACGAATCATAAACGTCGCGTTACATCGCATTGCGGTTTGTACGAGGAGTTAATACAATATATTGGTCATGTTTAGACATTACAGTTGCGGGTTCGCCTTCTCCCGCGGCGAGCGAAGACGAGGAAGAGGGTGCCAGTAACGCAGCCTCGAATCACGGTGGAAATCATAGGAATAATCACAGTAGCACTAGAAAGGGACGTCAAAAGCGAGGTGTCTTGCCTAAACACGCCACCGGCATTATGCGAACGTGGCTCTTTCAGCATTTAGTAGTGAGTAGCTTACCGATAATTGTACTCCTTTGGTCCAATTGTGATTCTGACATGGGATATTCGTCGCAGCATCCTTATCCAACCGAAGATGAGAAACGTCAGATTGCCAGCCAAACGAATTTAACATTGCTACAAGTGAACAATTGGTTTATCAATGCCCGTCGACGGATCCTGCAACCCATGTTGGAAGGTGCGGGTACAGACGCGGCGTCACGCGCGGGGAAACGTCACAAGACATCGAAGAATTCCGCGCAACAACAGGCGGCTCAACAGCAGCAAGCGGGTTGGCAATCCGAAGACTCTGCGAGTGATTCGGCTTCTAGCGACGGTGAAGGAGGTGCCGCTAGATCGAAAGACGGTAACGATAGCGATGAAGATGATCTTCACTGACCTCTGTCGATCACCGAAACGTCAACCTCTTTACGGTACCTTCAAATCCAGTTGCTCATTACAGTATTAAGGTATTCGGGAATAGATATCGCTTTAATTGTCAGATACGTAATTAATCTCGTGAAAGTTAAGAATACGTGGGTAGAGGTTATCACGCTCTCTGGTCATTCGGTACTACTCTGACTGTTCGTCAGCTTTTTTTATGATTAGATTTGTAATCTCGGCTCATACATCCACGTGTTCATTCGAAGACGGAGAACTGAGATTGAATAGGTACTAGAAAGAGCAATTCAATACATCTAACTCGAACAAAAATATTTGCATCGTGCTACGAGAAATGTTATTTATTTTTGATGAAAAATTTTTAAGTAAATCGCCTGCGTAGTGAAGATAAATCTGAGCTTTTCTTTTGAAATTACGATCTTTTTCTAATTTTAGTTATGTCACTTGTAATAATCATACGTCTCCCTGATGATACTGTTATTTATGATGC